GTGGCTTGTGTTTGCAAGTGATGGCAACATTTGGAACTCCACTTTTATCATTTCTTCAAAGAAGAAGTTCTCAGGCATGAAATGTGTCTTAACCAATCATCTGCAGATTTCCGAAGTTCTGAATTTCATACAAAGTCTTTTGAACTAAATTGACCATTCTTCGATCCTAAGCAAAAATTCAAGAAGATTATCCAAGGAGGCCTAATGTTACTCCTCAGTTTCCTGAGAAGTCGACTCATTGCAGAGAAACCTGATTGGCTTTTGGTCCTGTTTCCTATAAATCCTGGCTGACCCTCTTGCCAGCTAAATTATTGCTTTTTTTATTCTGTCTCTTTCTGTAGACATGTGTTTCTATCAGACCACCTAGTACATAAGCTAGCCCTTTGGCTATGACTTAAACTCCTACTGTGACCATAGCTACCTAGTGATGGTGAGATGAAGCCTCATGAGGCATTGAACCATTCGGGTATATTGCTTCAATGATCCCCACAGTTCATGAAGCTTCATGTGAACATGACACCACCTACTGGTGGACTGCAGAACTACAGTTATAATCGGTGATTTTTTGCAATTGTTTTTCTTGTTGTTTTTTTTTCTCCATTTAAATTGAAAGGTATCATAGTTTTTGGTTTAAATCTGGTTGGACGTTATGTGTTCAACCAATCTTTTGGTTAAAACGACCAATCTAAGTAGTGTTTTTACACAATCTATGTTGATAAAAGGACTAACCAGTACAAATTGGTTACTTTTGACACTGGTTACACTGGTTAAGTAGCACAAAACATTTAAAAAGCTTATGCCAAGGCTTGAAACCACAACTTTTGGATTGAAGGGCAATGTTGTACAGAAGACACCACTTACAATACTGTCTCATCCTTTGAAAGCAACCCCACAAAATATCAATAACACAACTGAAACCAGTGGCTTGTTCAGATTCTGTTCCTTATATTGTTTGCTCTGACCAAAATTGTTTTAATCTACTAGATTGGTTGTTATTCCAGCCAATCTATTCTTAGAATACATCCAAACTCTGTCCTACTGACCACAACTCTCCTACAAACTCCCACAACTTGACTGAGTACTCAGGTTGTTTAAATGCCTGTCGAAGTTCCAGGCAAACTGAACTACTTATTGAAGCGGTCACGTGGTGTGGTGGTAGCGAGGCTTCAGATGTCATCAATTTTGGCCCTTCCCCTAAATGAAGCAAGCCTTGATATGCGCTTCAGGGAAACGCCCCCTCCACTGCTCCGCACGCCTCATCTCATAAAATCACTATACACTACCCTTTTGAAACCGTGCCGAGAACAGTCCGAGCAACTGTTGAGTGTAAATAGGAACACAACTGAACCAGACCGTGCCAGACACAACCGCAGTTGGTTCTCTGTAAACAAAGAGCCACATGAGCACACAGTGTCATCTTGTATTTACAGTTAGCTGACTCATGTTGCAATTCACAGATCTTTTCACCTCAAAAGAACGTGGTGCGACCTGCGATGATTCCTAGACCAAGGCTCTCATTGAAATTTGGGCGTAGAACGTAATCCAGGCATATAAGTTCCTGAAGTTATGGGCACCAGCATTTTGTTTGCGTAATTCCTGCCTTGAGAGCTGTAGTATCGTAGAGCATCGATAAGAGGCGTAAATGGTCAAAAGAACCAAGCTGGGCATGGATTGGTTTCAGAGGGCTAGAGTAAATAAGACATGTGTGGTTTATGGCATATTGTCTTGGGCATTGGTGGTTCTAGACTGAATTTTCTAGGGGGACCAAGGGCCAGCATTTTTTGTTGTTGTTTCTCTCCCTTTTTTTTGTTTGGGTACTGAATGAAAACATTAAACAGAAAAAATATCATCATGTCGTATACTGAGTGAGCCAGACCAACTTATGGCCCTGGGGCAACAAGTTTGAGAACAGTACCTAATTCAATATCACTAAATCTAAAACTGCAATGACTCGATTCTAAAAATAATTTTAATGTAAAGCTTTTAAAGGTAAAAAAAGAATTTGGTCCAAAGGACCACTTGTCCAAGGTTTCTCTGCCAGTGCTCATCACCATAAGAAATTAATGTAAAAATATCATCCCAAAAATCTTTAGAGTATGTCAAAGAAGAAAAAAATAACAGCTTAAATGCATTAAAATCACATAATATCACACTTGTCAACTTTCTTACTATCTTTCTTGCTTTTCCTGTTTCTCACTCTCTTTGTGTACTTCTTCCAAAACTTGCGTTTGTCTTTGGCTCGTGCCTTTAGAGCAGCTTTGGGGTCAGTGATCCAGGCCTGGTAAAGAAACTGCAGAAAATGGAGCATAGACACTTAATGAGGACATTTTCCGCACATTATACCAGTAAAAATAAGATTTTGATGTGAATTGACGAGAAGCGGACGAACAGCAGAAGCTTGCCTGCTTGGGTAAATGTAAACTCCAACAGCTTCTGTAAAATATATTAATATATTTTTCCAAAACCTTTTTACTCCAATTAGTGTGTCTTGGTTCTTCTAATTAGTAATCTTTGTTTCCTGTTTCTTTAAATATAGGAGAAAATTACATTGATGCTAAAAAGGTCTTAATATATACAGATACCCATATGTGACTCACAGATACACAGAACAAGATTCATAAATGTATCTCTGATGCAGCTCTGTATGTATGTAGCGTTAGACTGTTGAGCCCTTATGGCTTCTGACAATGAAGGTGGTAAATAACACATATGACTAAATATGTGTAGCTAGGTATCCCTTTGTTATGAGTCATGTTTTTTTTATTATCATTATTTGGTTTAATTCTTACACTATTAACATAAGCTTGCAAACTCAGCAACATAGCTATGCTGGCTCTTCTAGATTGTCAAACCTTAACAACACAAAAAACATTATATATATATATATTTTTTCACATAACGTTAATGCAGGGCTGCCAAGGTTCATGCATTGAGTGCATTTTTCACGCATTTTGACTCATTTTCACACGCTATGCCACACATTACATTTCTCATGCATATTTCCTCCTTCAATAATCATTCAATATGACTTGCCATAGTTTGAGTAACTCTGATTGACTGACTGAGATAACCGATCCCAGACCAGTCCATCAACGCTTTGTGTCTAAATCTAACTAACCACATAAGTCACCACACACTATAAATCAATCAAAAGCAACATAAGGCATCACGTGACTTAATCTCTCATAATCTTCCAGAAGCAACAGCGCCAACAGTTAAAACTCTTTGGATGTCCTCCTGCTTGCTGGAAGGTACCGTAACTTTACCCAATTTTGTATACTTTTGATTTGCTGCTTCTCCTTAAGTTTTCTAGTTAATATGTACTACTGTAAGGCTGCTATGAGTTTATTATTTCCTGTATTTATTGAAAAGCTGTGGAAATTGGATTTACCTCTTCTCTTACCCAGTTCACACTTGAAAGTGAGACTCATAACGTTGGTCTCATCTTCTTGTTTGTCTGCCACTTTCACATTTGTTAATATCAACCTATACCTCCTAAAGTAGTGCTTTTCAAAATTCTAAATTCATTTGAATATTCACACTAAAAAAATAAACTGTTTATTTTTATCGCAGGCAGAAATGAGCCAGTTAGAAAAGAAAACAGGAAAATCACATAATACAGGAAATGTCCAGGTGAGTCAGGACGGGAATGAAGGAGGATTGAATGGCGGCTCAGGTAGCGACGAGGAAACTGTCACTGTAAGCTGCACATCTGTCAGCTGCACATCTGTAAGCAGGTCTGGACAATGTTGAAATTTCACAAACATAATTTGTAACATTCGCGAAAAAATTTGCGAAAATCTTTCACAATACCTTTAACATCTTTCCAGAGGCAGATGAAGGTGAAGGCTTTTGTTTTTCTGGTTAGCAAAATAAATTCTATTTCTGGTCGTAAACATCAAAGTTTGTTCACTTGATAAATAAACCAACTATTTATGGGCACATTATGAGACATTTTTCCTTAAAATATCATTAAAATGTTTACTGGTCTTCCTGCCATCGGTATTTTCAATCGTCTGAACAGAATCAATTTTTTAGCAATCTAAAATTAGAATGCATGCAGTTTCTAAGTATGCTTTCAAACTTATTAGATGTTTAGACAAAGCAAAGAGGAACTTATATTCAAAAACATGTTTGTTAGGATTCAAGATGTGCAGATATTATATCCATGCATTGATAAATAGTTGACTATAGTGTCTTACAGTAACACTATCTGACAGTTCTACAGAGCAATGGAAAACATGCAGAAAATAACTTTCTACACATGCAAAACACTTCATGCAAAAGTAGCAGCATGCAGCACAAAAACATTCCCGCTCCTGTTCATATTTCCTTTGTTTGCTATATAGATATAGATTTTTTTTGACTGTTTTAAAGACGTTTACATCAGGTATGAGCTGCAAACATCGGGAAACCATGAGGCTACCTGTTAAAATATCTGGTAGGCATTCCCACAGCAAAGCAAGCAGTGTCAGGTGAGTATGGTGAGTACCTTTCCTGCCTTGACTACATACTGCAACACAGTTTTAGGCAGCCTAATGATAGACTTAGGCAAAGCCAGAACAGCTGAGACAAACTTCCCAATCGCTCGCTAAAGGCAGAAGAAAGAGGGACAAGGTTTAATAAGAGTTAGAAAGTAGGATAAAGGACAAAATTAACTTCATGATGAGACTGTAAAAAAAATAACAAGATTCATTAGTGAGAAATAAATGTTAGCATTGATTACTTAAACAGTGAATCTAAGAATTATTTCAAAGATTTTTGAAGAGAATTCGATTAAAAAAAGGGTTAGAAACACATAACATATACGGTGAAACAGAATAGAAATGAGGTTTAATGTTTGATAGTGAGAAAATGAAGATGTGTCAGTGACAAAGCAAAAAAAAAAGAAGAAAAAACTTCTGTGTGCTTAAATAAGTGGCAGCGTTTTGGTGGTGGGTTGAAGAAAAGGTCAGACATTCTGCAGATTGATGATAACATGGTTGTCAACCATCTTAGATTCTTAATTGAAGGGTTTGGCTCCAACATGATATAAAATCTAAAAAGAACAGCTTCAATAGCAGTGTATGGGAAGCTCCATCCTGATTGTTTTTTTCATATGCCTCATATTTTAAGCTTTATTCAGTTGCTACAATAAGCCTTTGAAGAAACTTGTTTCCTACGGAGTATACATTTGTTTGATTCCACGTATTCCAATTATGAACTAACAGATAAAAAAAAAGAGCTTATAAAAAAAATATAACCTTGGACCCAAAGAAATAACGATATACCTGAAAAGCCGACTTCTTTGGTGGGTCTTCATCTTTTTTCTCCTCCTCCTCCTCTTCTTCCTCACTATCAGTTTCAAACAGGTAATAATCTCCACTTCTAACCACTAACAGGGCAGAAGAGAAAATGCTTTACATGAATCGAGAACCTGTCAAACATCACTTCTTTTAATGAAAAAACATTAAATTCAGAATTGCGGAGACAGTAGATGGAGACAGGAGGTAGGGAAGTAGAAACACTTCAGGGCAACATATATGATTTAAAAATAAAATATAAATTCTATTCAAATACAGTTAAACACACTTAGCTGGATAGGAACATGTTAAGTCACTCTATGAAACAAAGTTCACTCTAAATTAACTTTTACATTTCCTCAGTGAGGAAATAATAAAGATCATTTGTTTTTACCAGGTGCTAAAATCAATTAAATCTCAGCTCATTTGTTAAATAAAATCACAAGATATCCCACATTTTTGTAACTTATTAAGATTTTTTTTTTTTTAAATCTATCAACAAAATTGTAATTTAAATAAACATGAGATCCCTCTAAATTTTAGACAAGCCTTTGCAATGTTTAGATAAACCTTAAAAATAAACCAAATAGGTCCACTTTAGACTGGGCATGGCTCTGGTAAAATTCCTGACAGCAATTACGAAAAGAGGCTGAACAAGGATGGGTTATTTGAAACAGGCGCCATAGGAAACTCTCTCCTGTGTTAAAAGTGCAGAGCAGAAAAATAATGTTAGCAAAGTTGGATCTGAATGAACCATAAGACTCGAACCGTTTGTCTATAGAGAACATCATCATATTTTATTACTCCAGCATGGAGTAGTGATGATTTGGTATAGTGCTATACATGTTGAAAAATTTCCTTAGAATACATAACCATCAAACAAAACACATACATCCAAAACATATGTGCACATGCATAACTATTATAGATTAAATAGGGAACTAGAATAAAATGGATGATCAAATGTTCTGTAAAACAACTGAATAGCCTAATGAAATAGAGGAGGAAGATTTACTATCTTTTTTCACATTCAGCAAGTCTAAAAAAAAAAAAATCAAAAAAATCCTTAAGCTGAGGCAAAATGCCACAACCAGAGTTCAGATAAAGAAACAGTAATTTTATTTCTCCTATTCAAGCTAAAATACCACCTTGCTCCAAAGTTATAGGTTTACTAGTGGTTCCTAGAATTTCTATAAGCAGACTGGGAGGCAGATCTTTTAGTTACCAGGATCCTCTTTTGTGGAACAATTTACCAGCTTTAGTCCATGAGGCAAACATGCTGTCTACTTTTAAAGCCACACTTAAAATGTTCCTTTTTGATAAACTTAAAGTAAAAGTAACCCAGATTATCCTGAGCTACCTCCATAGTTATGCTGCCATAGGCTTAAACTGCTGGAGGACATAGGGCCCACTTTTCATCATTCTGCTTCATTCTACTTCTGTTCTCGAATTCTGGAGTATTTGTTAGTTCAAGCCCTTACTTGATTTTCTCTCAGCTTTTTCTCATCACAGTAGCTTCATCTGACCTGTTGCACTGTGTAGCTGTGACACCCTCCTGGAGGAGGATGGATTCAGCTGGTCCGATGCATCTACATCTTCCATTATATAAGAAAGAGTTGTGCCTGACTAACTGTGTGTGCTCTCATCCTTTTTTGACATAAAAACTGGCTCAGAGCTTTTTTGCTGTCACGGTCCTTTTCTAGACCAAGCCACCTGTGGAGCTAATTACTTAACATTTTCTAACATAGAAGTATTTATCAATCAGTGCTTCTTGTTCCTTAGTATTTCTGCTTCTATCTCTTTGAACGCCAGTCAGCCTCAGCAGAAGGCAACTCTAACTGAGATCGCTTCTGCTGGAGGTTTCTTCCTCTAAAAAGGGAGATTTTCCTCTCCACTGTTGCTGCATGCATGCTCTATGTGCATCAGGGATTGTTGCAAAGTTGATGATGCAATTCAAGTTCATGCTACTACATACCCATTCAGGAGTGAATCCTACAAAGTTAATAACTGGATGCTGTCAGCTGAGTTTTGTTAAAAAGCTCAACCAGTCTGCTTATATGCTTTGGTTAAATAGTCTCTAGTTTGTTTTAGATGATGTTAGATGTGAATTGCCACTATATAAATAAAACTGAATTTTACTAAACAGATAAAAAGGATGTTAACTTTGTTGCTGAGGAATAGCATTATCCAAGTAGTATGGTGAATAAGTTATTAAAGACATGAAATAGTTTAGATCTTTAAATGTAAAAAAAAAAAGTTTAGGAATCAGAATAACAATAAAATGTGGTTAAACAAAAAGACAAAAAACTGTAGGAATTAAACAAAATTAAACGAAATAACAATAAGATAACAAAACTAAAATTACACAAATCTATTGTTTAATATTGTAACTTAGATGCAACACAAATTTTATGTTGAGCATTGATTTTGACAGAGATTAATAAAGTGGTACAAAAAGACAAACTACTCAGATTTATTGATGCTACATGCCATTTATTTTTGTTATCTTTTCCAAAAATTTCTTTTGTAGCTATTTAAAAAAATTTATATAAATAAAGAAATGTTTGGATCTATGTTTTGGTGCACCTAAGGTAACATTTAAATGATTTTAAACCTGGTAAAAACGTGAAAACACCAAGAGTGAAAGATGAATAACTTCTCACGAACATATGCAAACAAAACCCATTATAAAAAAAGTTAATATGAAGTAAGTATATAAAGGAAGAATGTCTATAATTTCTGAATGAACACTTCTTGTAAGCTATATGAAGGAATTCCAGACTGCAGCAGCTGAGTGTCAGAAGCAATGGGATAGACAAGGCTGACTTATGTCCTTGAACAGAACCGCATTGGGCAGGAAATGAGGGAGGATGCTGGGAAATAGAGATGAAACACCAAATGACAAACAGATGAAATAATTTGTGAAATGTCATGTGGGGGCGGACGATGACATGAGACATGAGTTTGAACCAAACAGGCAATCAGTGGGAAAACCCAGGAAAAGTGCTGCCATGTAACTTGTTTTGAAGTAGTTTTTTTATCCCTTAACCATGTGTTTTGTTCACACCTGTTTGGTGATCATGTCTGCAGGCAAAGCAGAGGCAAACCCATCTTCCTTTATTCTAGTTCTAAGTATAAAGGCGGGTCCGTTTCATGTCTTTGCCTTAAAATGAGAGCGATTCTCTACTGCGGGCTTTTCAGGCGAGATCAGTCAGTTAATTTTAAACAACAACAAACCTCCAGCTATTAATAATATTTTCTTTACTTCATTGTACCTATTTAAGGAAACCAGGCCTCATTGCACAGATTGTACCTGAGACCTTCAGGTAGCAAACATGGGCCTTAAATAGAGACAGAAAAAGGATTAATGACTGGAGGGATGAGGAAAGCTGTGTGATGCTGCTTTCAGAGCCCGGGGACAGTATGGGAATCCTCAGCGTTCTGGTCAAGGACAAAAGAGGCCAGTGAAAGTGGAGGAAGAGAAAAACAAGATTTTGGGGGTCAACCTACTGGAAGCATGGTCAACCCACGGCCTCCACCACTGCTTTTTTTTGGTCTTGGCTTTCGCTCGCTGTGCTCCTAAAATTTCACAAATAAATCAGTGCAACATATAAAAGTTAAATGAAAATAAAAATCAAAAGTCCACAAACTAGACTTGTATCAGTATGCAACTTATAGCAGTTTGCAATTGTTTCATACCCCTTGAATTTTAACAATTTTTCTCTGAGAAGCAAAAAATTCAGGGGGATTCTAGGGAGATTTAAGGTGATAGACCCACGCAAAAAGCAACTATTAAGTGAAAGGAAGAGCGATAAAAAAGTGTGCATGTTCTTACATAAATAAAGATTTAAAAAATGTACTATCTATTTGGATTAAAACCCCATAAATCAACTGTCTTTTACGTTTTTTGCACACTGCTAGATGGAAATTTTGATCCAGTCTTCATAACCAAAGAGCTAGAATTAAAGCAGCAGTGTAACCTTTAGCCACTAGAGGCGCAAAACCTGTAGCTTCCAGGTTTAGCGCTCCTGAAAGTAATTGGCAACAATGTACTGTTGCAAAACTAAACAGTCCCCCTCTGTGTTATGCACTTTCAAAGCAGGCCACTTCGAACAGACTAAGAGGTCATACAGTTTCTTATAAAGGCAAGACAAAAATCAGCCCTCTAGATTAAATCCTATATGCAAGAACAAAAAATATGTCTGATATGGCAAGTGTTATATCCATTTTGTTGTCTAACAATACCTATTAGCTTAGTTATCTCACATGTTTAGGGGACCTCTAGGTCAAATGACAATTAAGCGACAGACTAGACCCGCTCAAGTTATTTATAGGAGAGCGTTGGAGAAGGACAGCCTGCATGAAGCATCAATATGCACCAAAAACTCATCTTTTTAAACTTACACAGTGTTGTTTTATGTTATGTCAGAGGACAGAGGAGAAGTACCTCTGTCCACAGAGCAGGGGAGGAGAATAGAGCAGCGTAAAAATTGTAAAAGGGTCCTGGATCACAGTGCAAGGATACAGACTTAAAGCAGATTCTGGTTTTACGCACAAGCCTGGAAACTGAGAAGCAAATTTCTGAATGCTAAATATCTTCATTCTATAAAGTCTCTACAGGTTGCATAATATTGAACTAAGTGTTTATGTATGTTTATTTTCTGCAACTTTTCACAGTTCTCTTAAATTACTCATCAATGAGAGCTTTTTACAATCTATATCAGTGTTTAAATTCCTCTATATGATGATGTTTTCCCTCAATGAAATTATGTGATAATCGGTTTGCCTTAATCGATCCAGCTGCTGAAACTAATCTCTCCCTACAGAAATGATAAGGATTATCTCCATATTAATACAGTAATTGTTTGGCTGTTTGTGCTCATTCATTTTACTTTTTAGATGTAGATCCACTAATAATATCTCTCCGTTTCCACCATCTGCTTTGCTGCAGACAAGCGCTAAGCACTACCATTTTGAAGAGCTCTCTTAAAGTCTACAGTGCCTTTTTAATGCATTTTATATTACTTAGGTTAATTCTAAGAAACAATGCTGAATTCAATAATACAAAAATTGGTCTAAAACTTTATCACTATGAGCTGCTTTTAGTCTTGAGGTTCTTTGGAAAAATGGGCCAAGATTTGTAGAGATGAGGACTAGTAGTCTACCTGTTAATAGATTCTCCCACCTGAGCTGTAGATTTCTGCAGCTCTTATAGAGCTACCAGGGCTTTTCAGCTGCTTTTAGGACACAGCAGGTCAGCAACCTTTACAATCAGTTTTTGGCTGCCTAGTTCTGGTAAATACAATTAAACTAACTCTGCTTTAAACCTGTCTGCTCTGTTCCTTGGTTCCCTTAAGTTTTTTTTTATTTATTCACACAATCTGTGAATTTACATCTAAATGAATCCAGACTTAATTAACATATACCAAAGCACTGTTTAACAATGAGATGGTTCTATTACACTGGACTTTATTTACTGGTATCAGAGTAAAGGTGGCAGAATACAAATGCTAGTCAGCATTTTTAAATTGAATCTATTTAAAATTGAAAAAAGAAAACAAGCCTCCTTTTCTTCACACATCATAGTCGAAAAATAGTTGGTTTAAAAGTTCGAGGGTAGTGAATTCTTTTGCAAACTGCTGTGGTTGCATTGTAAGATCATCAGCATCATTTTAGCCTCATTACAGGCTCCATAGGGGGAAGCTGGGGCAGGCTTCATCATACCATCATCATCATCTTCCTCCTCAGGCCGGACGTGCGTCTGTCCGTCGGCGGACTCCTGGGCCAGGCAGAGCATCTTCTCCTTGCCCCTCTTAAACTTTTGCTGCCTCACCTTAATGCGGTCCATCCTGATTAGATCAGAGAGGCGGTGAAAAGATGCAGAGGAACATCACAGCACATTGTCCATAAACATCTCCAGACTTCAACATGGAAATAAGAGCATGTTATAGTACAGTGGAGTGCTCATTAGCGAAGGTGAGTGGATATGAACAGTGCTCATGAGGAACTCCTGAGAAAACTGTAAGTAGTGGAAACACACTGCTTTTAGGTGGAATGGTATACTAATAGCTGCCTTCCAGGAAACCATGAAGAGATGCTTTTAAACCACAACAATCATGTTTACTTAATTATAGACTGAGTTATACTTAATAATGTTCACCAAATACACTGAATGAGACAAAGACATGTTGCTAAATGGCAGATTAGTGTCAGAAAATCCCTAAAATAGAGCAAAAGTAATACTTTCTAGATA